GTTTCATATTTATTCTGTAGACGTACTCAGATGTGTCCTATCAAATATGCCCAGTTTTAACAATCTGCACTGAAAACTCAAGCTGGAATGCCCTCCCCCCACCCCCCAAAAAAAGAGAGAGAAAGAAAAATCAGACTGTTTTTTCCCAGTTCTTACCTTGTAACTAGCAATTAGGATCTGATTGTTAGAATTTAACCAGCAAAGCTGCCAATAATGTGGACGCAGACAGAATGCAGCTCTCTCTATCACAGCTGCATTGGCCTACTAGTTCTGACAGTAGTGAAAAAAAACTAGCCTTGTTCTTTTCAGTAAAATCAGCAGAAATGACCTGAGCAGAGACAGGGAGTGTTTGTGGTAAGAAGATGCCATTAATACATACTCAATTCTTGATCTACAACCACACTTTACAAGCTGAACCCCTTAATATGTGTCTGGTTATTTTACAGTTCCAACTCAAGGTTCTAGAGAATTTATTGTGATGATTTGGCCCTTTACATTTCTATGTCAGTGGAAACTCATAGGAAAATGATATCCTTATAACGTCCTGAACATACAGGATCTTTTATTTGCTACATTAAACATTTACAGCCAAACACGTAATCTCCACAATCCCCGAAGGCAATGAACTTTCTAGGAGATCACACCTGTTTTGATCAGGATGTTTGCAGGTAAATTGTGGTGTTTAGATCACAAATTGAATCCCTTAGGAACAGCAAATGAGGACGTTAATTGAATTTTATCTTTTCTTGGTGGTAATATGCCACATTTTTAGTCTTTTTCCATTTGTGTCTATATGAAATTTTCACTAGCTTCAGGGATTCAACATAATGAAGGGATGGAAGGTGGGAATTTTCTCCTTTATTTGTACATTCCATAACTAACATCATGAGGAGTTTAGAAATCATTGATAATTCTTCCAGCCAGCGTTTGGGGTGATCTGCATAGCAAAGTCTCGTGTATGGTACCAGCCATGTTGCTGTGTCTCCAACGCAGCCTTTTGTTGATACTTGATTTAAGTTAGTGCCATTATAGGCAACACATTTCATCAGCAATGGTCCACGAAGTGAACTAATTGAAATATTCTGCCTGTCTTATTCATCTGCCTATATTCTTATAATGGCTTTCTGCACCATAATAGGAGTGTTATGTCCAAGATCCAATACAGCAGATTCTGTAATCAGATCCAAACCCTCACTGGAAACTGGCTGCAATTGGCCAGCAGAGAATTCTGCTGTTGGAAGGGAACTCTCTAGTGCAACTGGGTTCTTCCCTGGCTGTCACTCCTCATTCCTTGTGTAGACACATGTTGGGAGAGGGCAGAAGGCAGAGAGTGGGTGTAGCGGAACTCTGCTTTGCTATGCCTATGCTTCACTAATACCCTGCAATGGTGGTGCAAGTCAGAGGGGCTGGGAAGCAGCTCTAACTCTCATCCTCACAGGAACTGACCAGGAGAATTAGGGAGCTGTACCCATCTCTCTGACTGCTCCCACGCTCATACCTTTCACCTGCACGGAGTGGCGCTCCGGCACTGAAGATAATTAAGTTATCTATGTGTATTTTGGTGAGAGCCAAAGAACGGACCATCTGTGGACTGATGCAGTTTTGAGTAATTATACTGTGCTACCCAAGACTGTACCCTTGGACAGTTCTTTATGATGCCTGTGACTAGCCAGTAATACTCACTGTCTAGGTGATAGCCCTCCTCTAATGTACATAGGTCATAATTGCACACTAGCTATCCATCAGCCAACCACTCTGCCAACCAGTGTAAAGCACTTTGAGATTTTTGGACGAACACTGACATGTACATTGAAAGTACTTACTATTACCTGATAAAATAAGCAATTAACATTTCAGTTTTTGGTCACACTAGCCCAGGATTCATACATAAGAGCTAGGGCACTTATACAAACCCATTGTAAATGTCACTCTCATCATTTCATGGGTGGACTCACCTAACTATGATTTTTATAAAATTCTTTTATCAATACCCTGTTAAAATTAATATATGGGACATAATTTAATTAATGTTCTTTCTCCCACCTGTGAAGATTAAAAGGCACACTGTGCTTTTCTTCCATCAATGCAAATAACTCAACTTTAGGAAATTTCATAGCTGAACTGTCTCTTGCATATTAGCACTTACATCTCAGAAAGATTTATGGATTTCCTTAAAATTCCAGACATTCACAAGTCCCTTCTCTCTGAGTCATGAGGAACTATTACTGTCTAGTTAATTAACAACTTCAGTCCTTGGTTAGTTGCATTGTCTCAGTAGGACAAGCCTTTGGTCCCGTTAGGCACATAAATTCCTTAGTCAATGGAGGGGGTTAATAGAAAAGAAATTTTTTTAAAAAGAGGAAAATGTAGAACCCAATGACAGTCCCCTCGTGCATTGTTGCTATTGGAGGCAGAGGGATATCTGTTGTGATTCACTGATTACTGCTGTAAAACATTACAAAATACCATTTCAGCAGGGGCTATAGAGGGACCTACAGAATTGAAACTAAACAGCCATTAAATACATTCATCAAAGTGCTTGCAGTTCTCCTTTCAGGGCAGGTTAAGCAATAATAAATACTGAGCAAAGAGAATTCGTCTGTACCCAGAGCATCTAAACAAATAAAAAGCACATTACAATTGGCACTGCTCTTCTGTAGGCTCTCCTCACCAACTCTTCTTGGTAATGAAAAGTCTTAGGGATCAGCGTTGGAATCCTTCCTTTTTGGAATTTGTAAGAATTAAGGCGTGGGTGAGTGGGAGATTGCTAGAAGAAAATGTGTTTTTTCATTACTGCAGAAGGAATGTGAGATATTCTCTTCCTTTCTTATTGGGCCTGGGCTACCCTGGTGGGGGTTCAAACTAAGATACACAACTTCAGCTATGCTATTTGCGTAGCTGAAGTCGAAGTATCTTAGTTCGACTTACCTGGCCATCCTCACGGCGGTGAGTGGACCGCAACCACTCCCCCATCAACTCTGCTTACTCCTCCTGCCGAGGTGGAGTACAGGCGTCGATTTGGAGATTGATTTATCGCATTGAGACAAGACATGACAAATTGATCCCCGATAGAACGATCACTACCTGCCGATCCGGTGGGTAGTGAAGACGTAGCCTTGGTCTCAGCTACCTTCCTCCCACATATCCATTCTTCTTTTCTCAACCCCCGCCTCCGAGCAGAACATGCTACTTCTTTCTTAGGCTCATAATCAATAGTGCTGGATATGGTGTTAATGCCACGGCTCTGGTCTGTGTTGGCCAGTAGGCCCTGTGCAGAGCTTGAATGCTGCAGAACTCTTCCTTCCATGCCTGAGATTTCTAAACTTCTCTAACCTGCCTCAGTGGGCCAGGGGAATATGGACCATGAAGACCGGTTTCAGAGTAGCAGCCGTGTTAGTCTGTATTCGCAAAAAGAAATGGAGGACTTGTGGCAGCTTAGAGACTAATTTGTTCGTCTGTAAGGTACCACAAGTCCTCCTTTTCTTTTTATGAACCATGAAGACTCTCCTCATTATCTCTTGTCATTGTCTGTTTCCTTTACTTATCAAAATGAAGAGCTCCTCAGTAGGCAAACATGCCAGGGTCCCTCTTAATCAAGTCCTTTTGAATTAAAGAGCAGCTGCTGTTCCAGCACAGTTAGTTTTTCAATTTACCCTACTGTTATCAGTAACTTTACATGACTCCTTGTTAGCCAATCAGCTAAATTGTTTATGAAGATAAGGATCACATCCTCTCCTGGAATATTTCCTATGAATATTCTAATCTCTTCCTGCTGTTGCTTTGCTGCTTCCCCAGTTGCTGCTGCTCTGTTTGGTTAAAGCCTATCTAGTGGGAGGTAAGACCTTATTAAATGAGTCCATTTTAGAAATACAAGTACTTCTGAGTCTCCCTTCTCCTGCTTCTTTGGTGAGATCCTACTAAAGCCAGGTAGTACCCTCATTTGCAGGCTCATTGAAGGGTCCAAGAACAGAGTAGCTACAGAGACTGAACTTCCCTTCTGCCATTAAAAGTGATGCCTCCAGGACCAGGGAAAACATTTTGGGGTTTATGAGTTTTGGAGTTTTTAACAAAACTGTGATTTTTTTTCTGCAAAAGTGGATTTTTTGGGGGCGAGGGGAGGTGTGAACACATTTCTTTTTTGTCAAAAAGCCATTTTTCATTGAAAAATGTTTCGACAGATCATTTTCTACCCTCTCTAGTTATAATCTGGTGGGCCATAACTTCTGAATGCTTAATGTCTATTTTAGAGGATCAGCGGTCAAGACTGGCTATCTCAAAATTTGAACAAATTTTTTTCCCCTGTATCTCATCACAAAGTCCATGCAACTGTTGCCAGATTTTCTTTCTGATACAAATGCTTCAGTTGTTTTTCTGCTAAAATAAATAAAATGCAGAAATATAAAATCAACATCAGTCATAGACCTACATTAATAAATCAGTATGCCCAGGCTGGAGATCATAAACAGCCCTACAATCTCATATCAATGTGCCGAGCTGCAAAACAGATTTTAAAAAAAGAAAGAGTCAGAGGTCAGTGGAAGAAAAATGGTTAGAAAATAGCTGTAACTTTTAGGCTTCCAAGGTTGTTTGTTTTTCATTGACTTTAAATTGTTTTTAAAGTGCTCCAGAGTCTCATTTCAAAAAATAATCACAGCTTTTTGCAATGCATAACAAAACACTCAACACGAATGACTCCTTTGTTGGGATACTGTTCCTTTTGCTGTGTCAACATAATTGATAATGTTGGCAGACAAAGAAGGATGTAAACAAACTGTAGCCATATTAGCACCTGCAGCATTAGCAACACAGAAAAACAGATGATTGGATAAATACAAAATGGTAAAATGGATAAGGGAAAATAGGGTCAGGTTTCTAAGTGGACGTTAAAAGTTAGATAGTAAAATCTCATTGGGGAGTAAAAGGAGAATGCCACTGAGAATGTTTGTTTAACATTGGAAAGCGAGTGATTTTAATGAAAGGGTTCTTTTTGCTGCCCCCAGCCATACCTCTGGGAATTATAGTTATACGAGGAGATTGTGACTTGGAGGCCTGTCGTATGTACATTGACCGGCTACAAGAGGTGAGTCAGTGAGAATTTCAGTTATTGCTTATTGATTTATGACATCCTTTTCTCAAGTCCGAGTGTGTTATAGAATTATAGCTATAGACACAATGTATAAGAAACGCTTCGCTTTGCTTGCTCCTGAAACGGAAACTTCTCGGGGGTAGGACATGGGAGCCATTATAAATTCATGAGCAGCACTGCACGATATTTGGAGGACAGGAAGTGAGAGAAAGAATACTCTATCAATTTAAAGCAAAGAAAGGAATGAAAGGTAGTAGGTGGATTATATTTACTGATGTTGGAATTTGATCAGAACAGCTGGACACCCCATGAATCTTGCAAAAACAATGTGGGTCCTTCAATGATATCATGGTAGCAAAATGGAGCTGACTAGGCAAACGATGTAATATTTATATGGAAGTGACTCTGCTAATATCTGTGGTAAAGCTATGAGCATGCCAAATATGAACTAGATATTTCCAGAAGCCTCTGTTGACTCTGGGGGCCATGTAGTTAATAAAAGTGCTGCACTTCCTCTATTGACAAATTGTTCCTAAGAGCTGATTAAACATTACATTCTGTCTCGAAGACAGAATCTCCAAATGCTCCAGTAAGCAACAATCAACATAATTTAAAATAGACATGTATTTAGGAACCAAGATAATGGACTCTCATTAATGTGATATAACAGCTGTTTCTTTATTTTTACCTTCTGGTAGGTGTTTTATTAATCAGACTCTCTGTTATTTTTGTCCAAGATCTTCAAAAACAGAAGTCAGATTTAGGCTCCCAGGTCCGTATTGAGGGCACCAGAGGTGTTGGCCCAGTTTTCAAAAATGCTAAGCATCCCACCACTCCCCTTGAAGTCAGTTGGAGCTGCTATAGTGCTCAGCCCTTTTGAAAACAAAGCTACTTATTTAGATAGCTAAATGCATATTTAGGAGACTAAGATTAGGCACTTATTTTTAAAATTTTAGCTAGGGTGTACATCAGCAAATGGAGCTCTTAAAATGCAAACAACATTTCAGGACTACAAAACTGAAGTGTGCTATATCTTAATATGGAGACAGGTTTGGCAGTGATGATGCAGGGAGAGGATTTGGAGGACATTTCCCATCAGATTATAAATTACAGCCTACATTAATCGTGTGCTCAGAGCCCTGGGTAAAGGATGGAAAGTAGCTTCACTCAGCATGGAAAAGCCCTGGAAAGGAATTTTGACTCCGAGTTATCTCTGGCTCCAGTTTATGGGGGAACTATGTAACTGGTTCTCTAACTTCCCTTGCTTATGCTGGCTGAATTCCATTGGCTAGCACATTGTGGGAGGAGATGGACTGGGGCCAAGGCTTACTCCCTCCCCACCTACTTACTCACAGGCTGGAAAGTGGAGGCCCCACTAAGTGTACAATGACTCCCACTCATACCCACACTTGCTATCTTGGCAGGCCTCACAGGAAGATGGAGGAAGCTTATGCCCGTTGACTCCCCTGTGTTAGGGCCAGTGATTAATCTGCCTTTATGGTAGGTCATATCCTGGGCCTAGACTATTGGACAGAGTGCCTATTACAATAAAAGAGCTCCCTGGAACTTGCTGTTGGTACCATTATGCTGTGTCTTCCCTGAGGTTAGGTTGTAGTAGACCTCAGAAAAGAATCTGTGAATAGTTTGTGATTTCCTTAAATTTAAAAATTATTCCAAAGTATTTGTTGAAAAGCATGCTAATAATTCTTGTTTGCATGCAGTTTGTTGTGAATATTCTAAATTTGAGCTGTTTTAATAGGGCAACACAGGTCACTTGGTACGTCATTGTTCCCTCTTAGGATGAACATATGTTAGTTCTTAGAAGTTTTTATATCCAGAGATGCAAATATCCATGTTTGCGGATCGCAGATCAGATGCAGATACAAATTTTGTATCCTCACAGGGCTCTAAGAATTGGGTTTCTGGGCCAAACGGTTCAAAATGCAAAATTTGCTTTCCACAAATATCCTCAGTATTAATTTCAGATCCTCTGAGTGAGCGAGCACTGCAGCCAGAAGAGTTATTTGCTAGAATACTTATTGGAAGTGAGCACAAAAGAGTTGCAAACATGATGAAAGCTAATACTCTAAAAAATGTGAATAAATAGTTGCAAAATTCTTGTGTGTTTTTTACCCTGTTCTTGGGTGGAGTTGCACACGCTAAATAAATAAATTGGGTGGAGTTAGTGCGGGCATCTCTTGTGTGGAGTTTGTAAATTGGTTTTGGATTCATTGTCATTGCCATTTCTTTTATTCTCACATTAGGACCTGCAGTCGGTAACTTCTTCTATGCAGAGAGTTCACTACCAGGTAAAATATGAAGAGCACGTCTTGTTTTAATTCTTTAAGATGTAGAGAAAAGTTAGTCTCAGCAAGGAGTTAATATGATGTTTGAATTCAGATTACACTCCCCCGATATGAAGCTGGACTTTGAATAGAGGGTGTATCTGAGGTTAGCCTTAAATTACCATGTATCCCAAAGTTTGAGATGAGTTTCTGTATCCTCACAAGACAGCCCCTTCTCTTGCAAACCCTGGATTATGGAACTGGTCTCAAAATTATTTTGGGTTGGCACAACATCATAATGAAGGTTGTACTGGAACACCATTGCATTTTTTCTCAAATTAGTGGTTTGAAGAGTTTGTCCCGTAGGACAAATGGCTAAACCTGAATAGATACTCTCACTTTTTCTGATAAATGGAACAATAATATAATATCTCACACAGCCAGTAGCCTGAAATAATACAGTATGTCAATGAGATTAAAAACAGAAATCCTGGAACATTCATAACCACTGCGCCACACAGATCAGAATGTGCATCTATCCCAGCTTTAAATTGATTCACACAGATACATTTTAGAAGCTGGTTGTCTAAATTGTGCATGCAAATCTTTCTTTTGCCCATAAAACAGAATTCTGTGCAGCATGGTTTCCATTGGTATTTGCAATTTAGAAGGCCAGTTTTGAAAATTAGGCCTCCAGTATGTATTTCTTAACTACGTTGTCATATGCGATAAATGGGGTACTGTGCCCGGGGTATTTTATCTGGTTCTGTATTAGGAAATGCTCTCTTGGAATTAATCATTCTGTCCACTGTACCACCTTAAAATTGAAAACAGGGATTTGAATAGAATATATCACTGGGACTGCCCACCTGAGATTAACTTTATTGTCTCCTGCACTAATTTGTCATTGGCAGTGGATTAGTAATGATATAGTAAAGATTTACTGTGATAGAATCCAAACCACAGGGCTCAAACCTGCAAGGTTCTGAGCATCCTTTTAAGGGTTTAATGTCTCCAACTCCCATTGAAATCAGTAGGAACTGAGGGTATTAAATACGTCACAGAACTCAAGTACATTGTAGTTACGAGACCATTATGGTTTAGGAACAGATTATTTTTTGAGGATCAGTGATTAGCTGGGTGACATAGACTCCAGTTAGACACAATCCCCAACATATGGCTTGAGCCCTAATAGATACTAATAGAAAATGTACATTTGGAAAAAAATGATTTTGAAAGTTCTTTTTTGAATGGTTGTGTATTGGTTCTGTTGTTCCCCTTCCAATTTCAACATCATACTGTTGATATTTATGTCAGCCACTTCCAAGTATTGAGCATAAGAGCATTATACATTAGACAATAAAATGGTGAGAATTATTCCATTCAGCTCATTATAGAAGAGTGCATATCCAGAATTACCCTGACTGGCTGCTGGCTGCTTCACACAAAGGGAACAGCTGGACATAAAACGCTGGACTACGTGTGTATGTATATGCAGGCACAAACTAGAGTAACCAAAGTGTGGAGTGTCAGAGATCATCCTCCCTGCAGCACTGAGGTAGCTCTAACTGTAGTTATCAGCTCTGTATAAATGAATCACCTAACTGGCTCTGGAAGTGCAAGTCAGCTTGAAACCTCTATCAATACTTTATGATGTTTCATTTTGAATGGAACTGCCTTTATGTTTTGTCTTCTGTGCTTGTTTATCCTTGATTGTTCCGGCATCTGTGTATTCTCATTGGGTTCTTGCTACAAACTGTCTTGTCAGGTTAATTTGGGGGCTGCTCCATATTTTGTTGGCAACCAACTATAAATTATGGAAAGGAAGAGAAATCAGGGCAAGAGCAGGAGTAAAGTGCTTCAGCTGATAGAATTGTCTTCATGTCTCACTAATAAGGTTTCACAGGCACTTTTAAATCTTATAAACATTTACATTTCTCTCTTGGGCTTCCTCTGCAGTTGGAAATGAGAAGAGTCAGCATAAACTCTATAAGTGAGCTCACTGCAAATTCAAAAATTGGTGCAAGATTTTTTTTCATTCTGTTTGTTCCTCAGATATGTTTAATGCATTCTCATATGAGTGATACCTGCCCATCTGGGTTTAGCTTCTGAGGCAGGCCTGCCCTCAGTGAAGTAATGGAGGAAGCACATGCAGATTTCTGATTTGAGTTTCCACCTGGCAATGTTATCCTTTCCACTGCATCTTCTGATAGGGTCCAGGGATCTGACCCCATGTCTGCTTCAGTTTGTCCTCAGCCCATCTACCCCTCTGATACACATCAATAACCTTAGATTCTTCCTCATTTTCATCCCCTGCTTCTTTTACTCTAGTCCTCACCCTATAGAAGGGTAAGTCGTAGTATACACTCACACTCACACACACACACACACACTAGTAAATCCAAAAAAATCCTCTAGGCCATAATTTCCCTCAATAAGTTCTAGACACACAGCATACCCACTCACTCACACAAACAAATAAACTCTATAAACCAGGCATACTATTTCTCTGACAAGCTGAGATGGAAGAAAGATGGTTACTGTTATCCCTATTTCCAATTACTTGCGAGGCACTCGGAAGGGTAAGAGCTGAGTCAGTCCTGCTAGCCACAGATGTCAGGTTCCAGGGAGCTTTACGTTTCCATGAGTTTCAAACCTGATGCTTAGACCGCTAAGCCAAGTCTTCTCATAAGTATGCACATAAACAGAGTGGGGAGTTTCTGCTTTCCTTCTCCTCATGTCTCTTCAAGGACTTATGTGTACAGTTGTATTCAAACATAGGGCAGTGGATGCAAGAAAGGAAATGTATGGTGACCAAAGACAAAAGGAGGGACGACAGATAAGCACTGGCAATAAATGAATGCAGGACTTAGAGACCAGTAAAATGCAAGTTTGGGAGTCAATTGAGACAACTTTACTTTCTGGGGAGTAGAGGTGGGTATAGGTAATATGTGTAAGAAGTTTTTCATCAAGTGAAACTTGTGAACCTGTAGCAACTCAGGCAAGAGTTTGCTCCTCGGACCCGAGCAAACTGCCATATCTTTGAGTGCACCGAAACATTGTTTAAGTTGTCTGGAGCAGCCTTTTCCTTTTCCTCATGGATAGTCAGGAAAGGAAGCCAATAATAGGTAGCACAAATCAAGCCCAGAGGCAGAAGCTAATAAGATGAATCTTACAAAAGCTGGTAGGCTGCCAAGGAAAGTTGTTAACAACTTGCAGTTGCCTCGTGCCAAACTAATATGCATCCACCTGGCTGAGAAACAAAAGACACGGTCCATCAAAACATTAAACACTAATCATGGGAACAGCTTATTGTAAACAATGCCTAGAGAGTGCAAGCACTCTGCTGACCAAGAATAACAGGGAATGTGTGTATGTGTGCAGTACTGGAATAACCCTATTAAATCTCCAAGTTTTGAGGAAGCATCTAATGCCTTTAGATAAATGAAGAAGCAGTGCATGATACCCACTAATATATGGAAATGTGACTCGTGATTTGATCAACCAGAAGTTTAATTTATCTAGAGTTTAGCTGAAAGTAAAACCTCATTCAGGTCACTCTGAGATTTTCCCTAAGAATTTACAAAAAAACCAACAAATTCTTGAGCATCCTGATTTGCATAGCTCTGCAACCTAGGGGAATGGAGGGATGAAACACCATTTCCCTTCCCCCTAGATTCTTTGGTTTCTTCCAAATTTTGTTCAATGCTTGGATATCAACATGACAGAAATATTTCAGATAGATGAAAAACAAATAATCATTTGCAAAGCAGGAAAAACAAAACTATCCACAGGGGAATAAATGTTATTTCCACATTTCTAAATGATACAAATATTGGCAAGTAAATCCACAAAAATTAAAAACTGATAAATGAACAAAGTACTTGACAGTATCTGTATTAAAGCTCCAAATGTCTTATTTGTGAACAATAAAGTGAAACGGTCCATTATGTTACCTTCTATACCTAATATAGCTTCCCTCTTGTGTATTAAGCAGCCTCATTCACCTCCTCCAAATAAGCTGCACATTTTCAATAGTGAAAGTAATTAATCACTGGTAATTACCCTTACCTAGGGGTATGATGTATTCTCCATCATCTGAAGTCTTTAAATCAAGGTTGTCTTTCTAAAAAATATACTTTAGCTCAGTGTTTCCCAAATGGTGGATCATGGGGAGGTTGGAGATGGGTTGGGCCCAATGTGGAGATGGGGTCTTGGGGTGGTGGTGGTGGTGGAGAGTGAGCCTGCCCCACACTCACCCTGCAGCAGCAGCTCCTGTCCCGTGGGGCTGGGCCTAGCTTCCTGCTCTGGGCATTGCAACCTGGCATGCAGAGTTACAGTGCCACCCTCTCAAATTTGGCCCAGCTGCTCCTCTATCATGGCGGAGTGGTGGCTGGGCCAAACCTGAGTGGCGCTATAGTCTCATGCACCAGGTTGCAATGCCCAGAGCCAGAAGCTTGTCCCAGCCGTGTGGGACAGGAGCTGCCACTATGGGGTGAGTGTGGGGTGTGCTCACTCTCCTATCCCCACTCCAGCGCCTTTCCTCTGCACTGGGCCCGCAGTAGGGTTGCAGTGCTAGGGTGGAAGGTGCTTCTGTGAGAGGTCGGTACCCCTTTGGCAGGGCAAGGAGGAGGATGTAGTGGTGGCAGAGGAGGAGAAGGATGCTGGCCTGATTTTGGGCCCACAAATTTGGACCGTGAGTGGGTCACAAAAAAAGACAAGATGTAGTTGGTGGGTGGCCTTCCTGAAAAGTCTGGGAACTGCTCCTCTAGCTCAAATAGAAGTTAAAGATTTCATGCAAGAACTGCTTGGTGAAATTCTATGGGTTGTTTTGCAGGTCAGACTAGAACATCATAATGGTCCCTCCTGTCTTTATAGTCTGTGACGCTGTAACTCGCTTTCTGGTGCTGGATCTTTAAACAAAAAATAATTGAAACAAAACAAAACTATCAGCATGCTCTGGTTTCCATGTAAAACAATTGTTTCTCAAATGGAGCCTTTCCTCCCCTTTGTGCTGTTACCTATCCCCATTCCCTGCACCCTGGCATGGACCCACCGTAGTCTGTTGTCCTTATTCATTGTGCATTCTAATTTAGGACCAGATTCTGCCCTGATTTACACTCCATGCAACCCTACTGGACATCTTTGCTCTAGATGTAAATCAGAGCAGAATTTGGCCCTAAATGTACAGAAATTTGGGTGTTCACTTATGACCAATTGGACCGGGTCATCTCCTACGCTGGCAAATCATTCAGCACAGTGTTGCAATCCGCTGGCCTGTTGGTCTAGTGGCAGTACAACACAGCACCTTGTAGTGGATCCGAGTTTGGGTTCTTTGCTCCCCAGTGCAGGTGAGGCTGAGAGTGCTGCAGGGCTGAGAGGGCTGCAGGGCATTGTAAACAATGCCTAGAGAGTGCAAGCACTCTGCTGACCAAGAATAACAAGAATGTTCAGCTCTTTGGTGCTATTTTGTGCAGGGGAAACCTCCTATTTCTCTTTATTAATTCTCTTCTGGGGAGTTCTGGTAGTGGCATTGGCAGGCTTTGAGAGGAATCTCTCTTCAGCCAGAAGGATGGTTGTGTTAGTGCAGTGGTTCCCAGACTACGGGCATCACTTGTTCAGGGAATGCCCCTGGCAGGCCGGGCCAGTTTGTTTACCTGCCGCGTCCGCAGGTTCAGCCGATCGCAGCTCCCAGTGGCCGTGGTTCGCTGTTCTCAGCCAATGGGGGCTGCGGGAAGCGCTGTGGGCCGAGGGACGTGCTGGTCGCCCTTCCTGCAGCCCCCGTTGGCCTGGAGCGGCGAACCGCAGCCAGTGGGAGTCGTGATCGGCCGAACCTGTGGACCCGGCAGGTAAACAAACTGGCCTGGCCTGCCAGGGGCTTTCCCTGAACAAGTGGCACCCCTAGTTTGGGAACCACTGTGTTAGTGGATTATTGTTATTTGTTCAAATGACAGTGGTACCCAAAAGTGCTAATGTTTCCAAACACAGAGGAAGACACAGTCCCCAACCTAATGAGCATACAGACTAGAAATATGAAGATAGATGGAGGGAAGGACAGGACATACAAGCATTGTGATCAGGATGAAGACAGGCGTATAATGGCATGTCTACGCTGCAAAAAATAAAGTATGGTATTACCTGCATTATCTAACTGGGGTTAAAATAGCAGTGAATTTGGGTTTTAATTCAGATTAGCACTTGAGTTCAATCCCATGCTACCCTACAGGATTCCATTCAAACTCTGAACCGGAGTTAAAAGCTGAGTTGCTGTGTCTTCACTCCTATTTTAACCCATGTTAGCTAACCTGATTAAGAACACACCTATTTCTGCAGTGTAGACATATCCTTACTGACATGTTTGTTTGTCTCCTGTGTCTGTTTTTAGACCCCTCCCTTCTCAATATTCATCATAGTCTCCACCATTGTAAATGATTAATTCCCATGTGACATAGTAGGCGACTTAGCTAGTTTTGGTACTGGGCTTTTGAGACCTCTGAGCTGAAGGGAGTGGATACCAAAGGATATGATTGGTGTTGGCAAAGAAGATGGCTTTGCACACAGGAACTGACAGCTAGAAAAGTGGGACTAAGTTAATTAGCTTTTACCTTTAGGGTAAAGTCAGCAAAGAAAAATAAATGGGTAAATAATTCAGTTTTAGACAAAAGAGTTGTTTTGTTTTGTTTTTAAATGTTCTTTCCCTCCCCTGCACCCAGGATCAGGAAGGTTCCTTCCCACGAGTACTTTCTGTTCAGAGGCTCTCTCCTAGATGGTGCTTCCTAGATGGTAAGTGTATCTGCCTCTGGCACTATGATCAGGTCTTGTCATTGAAACACATTGAGAGACTAGTATTTCCAAAATTATGAGCCTAAAGGCCCGGTGCTGCCCTTTGCTGTGCTAGGTAGATAAGAAGGAGAAGGGTGCCTCTTCTTGCCTTCTCAGAAGCAGAGCAAGAGCTTTCTCTTGTGTGTGGCTAGAGGCCTGGCTGACTAGTGTGCCTGCTGTGGCCAGATCAACACAGCCCGTGGCAATCCACAGCAGTGAGCTTCCCAGCACAGGCTGACAGACTACTGCACTAAAAATATCTGCGTAGACAGTGCTTTTAAGTTGCAGCTCAGGCTCCGAAGCACACCGCCATCCCTAGGCTTCGGAGCCAAACTCCAGCCAAAGCTACAACCCTTACGCAGCAGTTTTTAGTATGGTAGAGCAAGCCCAAGTCTGTCGACCTGAGCTAGGAGGCTCGCTGCCATGGGCTGTGTAGATGCACCCTCCTCATCGGCTGCTCTTTTTGAAAGAAACAACATGTTTGTTCCTGGCTGTACTTTGACCCCAGTATGGCTGCATCTGTTCATAGCAGGCCTTTGAAATTGCCTTTGAAGACAAGTTTTGTTGTTGTTGGTTTTGGTTCATCTTTGGTCTTTTGGGATTTCAACTTTCCTCTGCAATGTTGAAAATTAAAACCCAGCAGCAAAATGCTACTGCATAAAAACCTCAAAATTAAGCTAGCCAGTCTGTAGTTTCATTGCCCAGAGTAAGTTTACATAAGGTAAACAGATAGCACAGATGGTGAAAAACTATGTAGACAGTTCAGATGCTTTCAATTTTAATAATCTAAGCTGCTTTCATAAATAGAACTGGGGAAAATAATACCAGATAATTTACTCAATAATTTCCCCCTTTTTTTCTCTTCACCTTTGCCATGAACAGACTGCAATTTTCTTGAATTTATTTTCAATTCAAAATTATTAGCCAATTATTTGATCTGCAGCTTGTTCACAAGCATTTTGATTTATTTGATATAAAAAATTGAGCTGATATGTTTGGACACATATATCGTATGGGCTTTTTTTTTTGTTCCCTGAATGAAAGGCAACTCTTTGTTTTAGGTTTCAGATTTGTAATAAGAGGCAATCATACCAGAAATTTGCTTTCCATACTTTTTGCATTATTTTCCTAAAATTTGCTGTTTCAGTGAACATTCCTGCCAATAAAATCATTTGCTGGAAATGTTAGCAGAAAGTGGGGGGAAACAAGGGCAGATATGTATATAGTCAGAACAAATAAATTGTTTAGCAGTATCTACTGAGCGCTATTAACAACACAGGGAAAGACTTTTACTTGTCTCCTTTGTAGAGCGCTTTGAGATCTACGGCTAAAAGCACTATATAAGAGCTGTGATATTATTATTTTTATTATTATAAAATATATTAGACTTCACAATGACCCTTAAAGTTCCCTCCGTGTGTGTGATATTGTTTGTGACTGGATTTTTTAATAAAGTACCATGACCTTTGTTTTGTTAAACTCTGCCTTTAAAATCGCCACATTAGTCCTCATGAAAAGCTGGCACGACTCCTCTAGTTGCCTTTACCCAAGGGCTGAATTTAGTCCAATCTACAATGTGGATTCAGTTTTGCTCAGATCTTTTTCTTTAACACAGCTCTGCTGTTTCCCTTTCTTGCAGCAACTTCTGCTGATCGTTTTTACCGCATTGACAGATCTCAGGTAAATTTCCATTCATTCACTGTTTCTATAGATCTTTTTAAAGCATTGTCAGATACAGCTTAAAATGAATTATCTGTATTTGTTCCTGTGTGTCTTAAAGTTCTGCTGATGCCTCATGAAAAACTGAAATATATTTTGGGCCAGATCCTCAGCTGGTGTAAATTGACATAGCTCTACTGAAGTCAGTGAAGATTTATACCCACTGAAGATCTGCCCTTCTATCTACAAGCAATTTAATGTTCAAATAGTTTTCTCCATTCTTCTTCCTTATCCTCTATTTCTAAGGACATATGTGTGCAAACAGAATATTTATCAGTTTATCCTCTGCTGTTTATAACAAACCTGAAAACCTAGTCTTCTGTGAATGACATTCGATAGCTGTGGAACTTACGATGTTACAAATTGTGAATTATGATTAGAGCTGTATAAAATGCTCACAAAGAAAGAGAAAACAATTATCAAACTCCACTGGTTTCAGGTTTTATTTCCAATTTGAGAGTGAGAATAATTTATGACCCTGGACTTAGTTTTTAATCAGGTTGGACCAGTTAATGGTTTTGCATCACAATCATGCAACTGTAAAACACTGGTCAGGTGTGTCTTTGTCCCTCTTCTGGACCATGTCAAAAAGTCTCCTGAGTCTGCTACTGTCTCCAGGTTGATGGAGATGGTCCTGTAGCTTGAGCCGTGGAGGATCATGCTTGTAGACCAGAGGGTCCCAGCTTCAATTGCTGTGGATCATCTGAGAAGGGGTGTCTTTACACAAGTTGCTGTTTTGACAAAATGCCAGGTGACTGCTTGGATGAGGTTTTACTTTAAGGTTTGGAGAACCTGAAAACTCACAAGCAAGGTGAAGTAGATGAAATAAAATGTTGGCTTGAACCTCTAGGGATGTGAACCTACCGAGTTTTGCATAGCTTTCATTATGATGCTATAGATGCCCTTGGGTTTGCTCTCTCCCTCCTCCCCCATGTCTCTTTGGGGCTGAAAGTGAGGATCCATGATGTTTCCACTGAGCACAGGATTGCAAATTTACTCTCCCTCACACTCACATTGAACTTCCCAGAACGGTAAAGGGGTGGGGATTATTGAACCTTCTTCTATATCTCTGAGGAACTGGAAGGAGTGGGACAGTGGTAATGGAGATGCAACCCCCACAAACAAAAAAACAAACAAACAAACAAACAAACAAACAAACAAGGCACAAAAGAAATAAAATGGCTTGGGAGAGTCCCACCAGGCTCTGAAATGTTCTTCTGTGCCAAGGTCAGTTCTGGCTTTCTGGGCAGCCCTCAATCCTGAACACTGGAAGGAGTGTCTAGCCACAAATGTCAGTGTCAGCGGACTCTGTGGATCTTTCAGTTGTCTATCAGGAGGTGTTTCTCAGTTGTTGGTGGAACGTAGAATAGAGACCAATGGAGACAAGGTGGAACCAGACTTGTAAGCATTGTTGCGGAATTGATACTTGCTGCAGGTGGAGGGGGAAATCCTGCAGGCAGGGCCGACTCTAGGCACCAGCAAAACAAGCAGGTGCTTGGAGCGGAACATTTCTAGGGGCGGTACACCTGGGGGAGGAGGCGGGACCGGGGATTTGGGGAAAGGGTTGGGAAGGGGCAGAGATGGAGCAGAGCCGGGGGTGGGGGAGCATGAAAAAAAAGCGGGGGCGGCCAAAATTTTTTTGCTTGGGGCGGCAAAAATCCTAGAGCTGGCCCTGCCTGCAGGATGGGCCAATTTTCACCTAGCTTTCTGATAGTCAGTTTGGCCTCCTGACGGATTGCTGGTGACTCATTATTGACTCTCTGTCTCATTCTAAAAGGAACATTTGCACTTTGTGACGGAAATTTCGCAGGACGAGATTTTTATCCTGGACCCAGAGCTGGTGATATCACAGCAGGTGGGAACGCCGCCGGGAATGCCTGATCTGGTAGTGGAGCAGGCCTCTGGGTAAGCACTTCCTTTCCCAGGCTGGGCTCTGGCCTTTGCAGCTTTTCTAGGTGTGGGCACTTTCCTTCCTGCGCTTCGACAGTAGGAAGAGGAAAAGGCAGATATTAAAGTAAGGAGTTGGGTGAACAGATCCATTGATCAAATTACAAACTCTTTCTCTATGGCGCTGAGGTTCAGATACTGGTACATGGGGTCTTAAATTGACCTGTGAACCTGGGAGTTACAATGAAGTGTCTCCATTTCCCCTTGTCCTGTTGGCTGATCAATATATGCTCACACTGAATTAAAGCCCACACTCACTCCTCCCAATGAGCTGTGTAGGGCTAATCCAGCTAGAAAAGTACTGCAAATAAATGAGTATAAGGGAGCTTCAAATTGGAGAGTGAAAAGCAGCCTCTGAGGAATTCATCTCTTTCTCTTCCTTCCTTGTGTTTTAGAATATCGGATCGGTGGAACCCTGCAGTCCGAAAGCGGATGCTGAGCGACAGTGGCCTTGGCAAGATTTCCCCGCACTACGAGGTACCTGACAAACAAAAGGACGCCAGCCAGACACACATGCTGCAGTAAGAGCCCTCTGCATTTCTCTGCTTGATGCTGCACCATCACCATCACGACTGACAACTTTTAGTTGGTCTTTTAAAATGTAGTGGGTTATAGTGACAGAATGAAATGGAGTCTTTCTTTCTTTTATCCCCCCACTTCTCCCTTCTGCTTCATCCTCTTTCTCTGTCAGTTGCTTTTCCTTTCCTTTCTTTCTCCAGCTTTCAGTCTCCCATAGTCTTAAAAACATTGGTCCAGATTTCCAAAAGTGAGTAGTGATTCTGGATATGTCAAATTTTGGCTGCAAAACAGGAGGCACCTTAAAGGTCCTGGTTTTCAGAACAAGCTGAATGCTCAACCTCTGCAAAAAGCCTCCTTTAAGGTGTGTCACGTTGATCACCCCAAAATGGAGGCACTCCAAATCACTAGTCATTTTGAAAATATAGGCCACAGCTTCCAAGGGTTCAGAGCCAAGGTTAGCATTTTGGGGCTGTTTTTAGACAAAATTTTGCTGTCCCACTTCCACAATATAACAGATTCCTATCCATTGTGATCACACCATGATGTTCAGGGCCAGTTTAAGGCTTTGGGGAGGGTCAGTGAGATGATTCTTTGGCTACACCCCAGACTTAATTGACTCATATTACATAAAAGGTGTGTATTTGCATGTGCATGTGTCTTTCATTTTCCCCACCCTCCCCAATTTTTGCAGAAGTGGAGCCCAACTGCTTGTTCCTGTTGGTTGAAATTTTCAAACACTAATGAAGGGATTTAGACACACAACTCCCATTGAAACTAAAATGGGAGGAGGGTTGCAGAATTCCCTTGTTGGTTCTGAAAATCTCAGCTTTTTCTCAGCAACTCAATCTCAGCAACTGATTTAGTTTGGTTTACATCAATTCTCCTTTACATTTCCAGTTACCCGCAATTTGGGGGGAAAGGGGGAGGAGAAAGGAAGAAAGGCGAGGTCTGCCTGAGGAAAGAGCAATTACATATACAGATCACACAGACTCTGCCTTGTCATGGGAAGATTTTGGTTCAGTTCTTGGCCTTGATCTTGTGCTCCCCAGAATGATAGGGACTGTGAATATTGCAGGGGGAAAGCTAAACAGCTCGGGAGAGCCTGCAGTTTTACCGAGGCCAGAATGTAGGGCCTTAAACTTGGGGCATGTGAAGCAGAAAGAAATTAGAATGATGTAATGTAATCCCTGGCCAAGTGGAATAAAAGTAATTAGGTGTGAAAAATGTTCTGACAGCTGTGAGGACAGATTTTGTTTAAAGTGATGTGTAAAGAAACATTTGCATAGATACAACAATGGTGTTTATTAGAGAGATTCATTTATTGCAGGTACAGCTGGTCGTGCCGCCTATCGTTAAGGTTACCTGATACTTATAGGACCCTGTGTTCAGTGGCTTAGAACGTTGTCAAAGTTTAACTGTTTGGGCTGGAATTTTCCATAACAGGAGTTTGCCTCAGATTTTTTTTTTTTTTTTTAAAGTTCCAGCTAAAACAGTTCAGCTGTTTCCCAGACTGGGGAAGATTAGGGGAAAGTACTTTGTTTTGCCTGTTTTTACAAAAAAATCTTACAACTGTTTCATTGAGACACTCTAGCTTTGGATCAGGGACTTGAAATTTAGTCATCCTGGTTCCAGAGATGTGCCTTTTGCCATTTCCATGAAAATTCACTCAAATTCAGCCACCTTATAAACTTCTGGAAAATTTTTATACATGCTCAGTAGAGACTTGTTAGAGTCTAGCAGCTAAATTATCCAAAGATTCTGGCCATACTGAGCATGCTTCAATGCATGACTTTTTCTGTGATTGCTATTGCTGGCGGGAGTAGGGGCACTGCAGTACCACGCATAAAGAACTTAGAGCCGGGAGATTGTCCTGTGCTCTGAATGCTTCTGCTGCTTACATCCAGGCAGTGAGGAAGAGAAGGAAACATCCACACTAGAAAGCAGATGAGTGAGAAATGGTGGAAGCAGAGGGATCAGGTTTCAGGAACTGGAAAGGGGTGGACCAGAGGAGACAGGGGTTAGGAGCTGGTAGTGGGTGGGAGCGTATATCGGCACAGAGAGGGAGGGAGCAGGAACAAAAGGGGATGGAGGTGATGGATAGGAGCAGAATGGGTGGGGAAGGAGCCAGTGTGTGGGCTGGATAGGAACAGAAGGGGGAAGGAAGAAGGAGCCTGGGTGGGTGCATAGGAGCAGAATGGGACGGAGATAGGCTAGGGTTACAGGGTCAGAAGGTTCCATAACCGCTAGAGGACCCTCTCTCTAGAACCTGGAATTACATTATATGGTCACGTACAATTTCCCCCTGCTTTATTCAGTGTACAGGATGCAGCTGCTCTAGCAAGAAATCAGGATTGTGTAGTGAAGGGCAACTGTTGTCTGCAGGACCTCCAAATTAGCAGGCACTTTTGACAATTTTGGTCTTAAACTCTCTGGGCCTATGTTCACCAGCTGTAAAATGAGCCTGACTCCCGGTTACTGTGCTAATGTTTTAGCAATCAGTCCTCAGCACTGGCCACAAACAACTCTTCCATATCAAGGGGTAGGGAGAAAGGGAGTAGGGGAAAACCTTGAAATATCATTAATCAGATGCCATCTGAAAATAAACTCACGTGAAGCGCACTTAATTAAAAACAAGGGGGTAATTAATTTTCTCTAACAAAGACCCCTGCCTAGGAACCATTAAAATCAAATCTCTTTCCCCTCCAAGGGCTTAAGAGTAGGATCAGTGCCAAGCACTGTAATTATTTTCAGATTCTCTCTCTATAGATCTTTTCACTCAGATTGGAGAGACTCAAGGCATCTCTTTGTTTACATACTTTGTCTTTTCAACTGTCCCTGTATTTTCAAAAAGGCTGACAGCATTTTAAAGGGTGGTATATATTTATTCCATGGACACTCCAAACAGCCGTCAGCCGTACTCCTTCTGGATGTGGTCTGCTCTCATGATCTAAGATGAGTCTGTCCAGGTCAGTGCTTGAAAAAGAGACCTCCAAGGAAAACCCAGAGTACTGCAGAAAATGGCACTGGTGAATCAGTTGAAGGCACTTTTTCCTCCTCCAGAGCGAATGCTGGTCCAATGCCCTAGTATGGTGCTAAGGGATATTGTGCTGTATAGCTGGAGGTGTTGTACGGTATTGCTGATGAGAGGTAAAACATGGCCTCTGATCACTTGTAGCTATTAAAAGATCTGATGGAACTTCATGCAAGACACGAGGTATCCCCTGTATTCTGTAAATTTTCCTCTTTGAGTAGTTGTGTTCTGGCTTGCTAAAATTCTTCCTGTAGTTACATTTGAAAAAAAGGTTTTCTGAATGAATAAACTCTATGTTCTGTTGAGAGGGTTGGGCTGGAGAAATGTTCTGCCTATGGGGGGAGTGGGGGAGGGACGAGCTTGATCCTGCAATGTGTTGAACACTGGCCTCAGTCTGGCAAAGCACATAATTAGGTGCTTAACTTTAAGCACATAAGCTGTCTCATTGAAGTAATTGCTTGTCATCTGATCAAATGCTTCTTAGCAGTCCTTGGCTGGACATACGATAGGATGTGAAAGACTATGCACCAAACAAGGATGTTACTTTATCCCCACCTCCTAACTCCAAAACCACCTTTGAGCTGCCAGTTCTCATTAGTAAGAGCTGGATTTAGGCATGCTCTCTTGAAATGTGTGTCTCGCTCGGTGGGTCCATGAAGACCATCTGTGGAATGCAGAGGTGATGTGCTTGTTCTCTGGCCGCATAGCAATGTGAGGAATTCAAAATATTTACTGAAATCATTAGAGCATTGTCTGCTGGTCTGTCATCAGGGAACATTCATGTCTATTCGCTTAAACCTTCAGGCCACAGGATGGTTACCCTATTCCAGGGGTGGCCAAACCCACCGACTCTCCGAGCCGCATACAGTAATTTTCATAAGTTCTAGAGCCAAGCACACCTGCCAGGGCTCGGGGCTTCTTCCCCCTTCCTGCTGAAGCCCCAAGCCCCGGCAGGCGCCTCCCACAGGGCTGAAGCTCTGAGACATCCCCCTCCCCATTGCAGGGCAGAAGCCCTGAGCTCCCCCTGCCCCAGTCTGATAGGGGAGGGGTGTGTGGGGCTCCGCGAGCTGCACTTTAACTGTAAAAGAGCCGAGCCATAGTTGGGCCACCCCTGCCATATTAGCTGCTGCAGGTGAGGAAAAAAAGAGTGTTGAAAAGGGAAGATGTGAACTGTAACCAGTACTTGATAGAGGTTGGCGATGCGCTGAATGAGAGAATCAAACTCCTTCATCTTCAGTCCCCTGGAAAGGGTATTTAATAGCAACTTGTCTAACATCTACCCAGCTGTAATGGCATTGTGTGTCCAGAGCTGTTAGATGTGATATCTGAGTAAAGTACATGGCTCGTGAAGGGTGGGAGAAGGTTGGCCAGCACACCATCTGGTTAAGTTGTACAGAAGAAAAAAAAAGGCCTACAGGGGCTTGAAGATGGCAGCAACACTTCACAATAAGTGGACATTAATTAGCCAGTAATATCACACAGCCACTGCTTTATGAGGCAATAATAACTGAGTGCCCGAGTGGGGAGAAAAAGGAGGCTGGAGGTCAAGTGCTTTATGACAACCAAAGGAATTGGCTCATTTCTGAGGAAATCAGAGTGGCAGTACAAATGTTACAAGGGTTTTTTAAAAGAAAATTGTGTGTAGCACAAGGTGAGAGGAGCATCAGGCAAGTGAGTTTGGATGTGAAAAGAGAGAGAAATGTTTGTGCAGTGACAGGATTATGAAAATGTAAAGAGGCCATGTGCAGTTTGAAAATGTGTGGTGCAAGCTGCTAGTGATGAGTGCACCTGAGGAGGTCCAGAGGTTTGCTTTGGATAAACATTTAAAACTTCAGATGTTTCACTATGCTTCTTACTTTTGAAAAACTGAGCATGAAACATCATAAAACTCATTCCCAAATACTTCCAGATAGTCTGTCTGGTAGTATTTCAGCACCACACACTAAAAGGTTTGTTTGGTTCAGATTCTGT